TCCCCAAAACGTATCACCTGATCTTGTCTGATTAATATCTTTATCATCCCCAACACACACACACACACACACTCTACTCATTCCTGCCTCAATCTTTTTTATTCATGTATCTCCCCTACTTGGAAAGCACTCTACAATTCTCTCTACACAGTATGCCCATTCTTCAAGGGCCAGCTCAATCCTCATCCCCTTTGTGAAGCCTTCTCTGCTTCCTACAATCTACAATGATTTTTGCCTTTTCTGAACTTTTCGCAAATTGTTGTTTGTGCTACACAATTTAGTACTTTATTAGGTCAGCATATAATGCAACCATGGCATTACTTTCTTGTTCACCAACTATCTCATGTGCATACATCTTTTTAATCTCACAGACTAGACGGTCATGTCCTTGCAGGAAATGACTATGTCTTAAATGTTTGGTATCTTACTGTACTTAACACAATTCAAGAAACACAGCTGGGACTCAACAAAAACTTGCTGAATAACTGAATGTATTACTTTAAATTTTTAGCAACCTCTAAATCTACATATTTTGAAATCTGAAAAATTTTGAAAAGCATCTTGAGTCTCTTCTAGAAAATGTGATCAAGTACAAAACATTTCCTATTATCAATAATGAATCTTCTTTGATAGAAACCAATCATGTTATGTACAAGAGAAGGGCCAGAAATCTAAGCATAATCAATAGTAAAGGGATAGAATATGCGGCAGTAAAGAGAAAATTAGAAGTTTATTACCAATCAATCAACAACATCTATTAAGAGCTTAATTGTGCCAGGCACTGTGTGTGCAAAGCACTGAGGCCAAAAACAAAGTGCAAAAAAAAAACCCCTCAAGTAGCTTACATTCTAAGAATTACTTCTAATTATGAGAAGGGCAGCTGTGAAACTACACAACCAACTAATGCAGCAGTTAATCTTTTTTGTTACATGATCCTTTTGTAGTATGGTGAAGCCTACATAAAACAAAATTCATAAATTGCAAAGAAAAACAATTATATTGAAACAGTTATCAAAAGTATTTTTAAAACAAGTTCATGGATCCCAGGTTAAGAACCCTTGAACTAAGGGCACCAGTAATTGAATGCCTTAAGTTTCAGCAAAAATCAAATTTGTTCAAACAAACAACACAACCGAAATTTTTTGCATTTGTTTACTTGATAAATACAATAAAGTCTTTTTAATGTAATTTGGGAAGGAAACAAGCACTTATTAAGCATCTACTACGTCCCAGGCAGTGTGGTAAGCTATTTATCCCATTTGATCCTCACAACAACCCTAGAAAATAGGTGCTATTATTATACTTAGTTCAGAGTTGAGGAAATTGAGGCAGAGGTTAGGTGACTTGCCCAGGGTCATAAAGCTAGTAAGTGTCTGGGGCTCGATTTTAACTTAGGTCTTCCTAACTCCAGGCTTAGCTCTCCATTTACTACACAATCTATCTACTTCAACATCAATGTTTAAAAGCTATGTAAATTTTATATGTAATGAACTAAAATTTACCTATATGAATAAGCATGTATTGCTCAAAACCTGTCATTTAAATTTGCTTTTAACACAGAATTTAATTTTTTTTAATTTAAAAGAATTCTATAGAATTAGCAAGCAATTATCCCTGACAGTCTGATAAAAGCTTCCTATGCTAAATAGAAATTTGTCAGAGTTTTATCTACAGAGAAGTCAAAATAGTTGCATAGATTACTGACTCTCCTCTTTGGCAGATTAAGCTAGTAAAACAATGTGGAGAATTAAGAAAATCAGGTACTTAGGTTACACAAAAAACATTATTTTTGTCTGATCTATGTTGATAACTGCCTCCATTACTCATTTCTTTTTGTTAATATGGCTTTGAATTGGGTCAAGCATTAAAAATCTTCTGTATTCAGAGTTAATGCACAGCCATTAATGTCAACAATGAAACTATACCTGAAACATATACGATAAAAATATTTATCAAAAGGTACAACTTTAATATGTCATACTGTGATATCATCTAAGTAGGAATCAATTTCTTTCCTTGAACCAGAGTTCTCATACTATCTCATTACTTAACAAGTAGATCTATCAAATGTAAGTTTGAGATACAATTAAATTCAAATCAATTCTCACCTTTCTGCTTCCCAACAATAAATCTGCTCACTTCAATTTCTAAATCTTTATACAGGGTTGCATAAGCTGTATTTGTGCAAAAACACAAAAAATCTCAGAATCAATTTTTTTTTAATATACAAAACAGGAAGAAAAGAGGAAAAAAATTAAAGAAATAAAGATTCTGTTAACTTGAAGAGAACAATACAGGATCTAAAAATTATCCTGACCCCTGAAAAGCAAGACAGTTCAAGCATTAAGGTAAATTCAGTGAAAATAAGGCAGTTCAAAATCTAATCAACCAATAAAGGTTTCATTAAGATAGAGCCATTTGTATATTTTCATATTTCCTTTATGTAATGAAGAACACTTGATGCAAAGAGATGTGCTCGTGTTGCCATACATAAGTAAGATACAACTTTTTTTTAAGGCAATTGGGGTTAAGTGACTTGCCCAGGGTCACACAGCTAGTAAGTGTCAAGTATTTGGTCTGAGGACAGATTTGAATTCAGGTCCTCCTGACTTCAGGGCCGGTGCTCTATCCACTGTGCCACCTAGGTGCCCCAAGATATAACTTTTATTTAATATCAGTGATTTTGGGGATCCCTGTGATTTCAGCAAATTCAGACAATATGCATAACAGACACTAAATAGCTTGAAAAAACAGAATTGTTTAAAATCTGTGTCCAAAATAGCCTGTCCAATAAGTGAGAAAAATTAAATATTCTGTGTGAATCTGATAAACTATCTTATCTATGTAAATTCCTTTGTTTATTAAGAAAAATGTCCCACAGTTAATGTTATTTCTTTTCTTTCTTTAGTATTAAAAATACACCACAAGCTTGTGTAAAACTATGTCTTAAGTATTATTGCCTGAAAAAGTCTCAAAGCAGTACTTGGATTGTAAATGAAATACCACACACTGTCTAGGGGCTTCCTTAACCAAAAACACTCTGCTGCCACTTAGTGGGCACTATGATGAATGTTCACATAAGAGTCGTGAAATTAAACTGATAACCATATTCCCATTACTCCATTACACTTTAAAAACATATATACATATATGTATGCATACACATATATATAGACATGTATGTGTGTATGTATGTATATGCAAAAGAGACAATGCCCTTACACTCATACAAAACTTAGCATCACTTTCCAACATAACACAGAGCTTCTGATGCATCAATCTGGGAGATTTGTCAGCTAACTCCAGAGAGAAGATTTGAAAGGGATGCCAAATAAATTCTCCAACTACAGGCCTCAATGTGGGGGAGAGCGGCAGTGCGGGCGGAGGTGGGGTACTGAATTCAGAAACTGATTTGCAGAATTTGAAAAATCTGAGGAGTATGGGCTCATCTGATGTATATAAGCCACAATTCTAAAATGTAACAAATAAATAAAATTTGGGTTCTTTTCTTTAAATTAACCACCATGAACCTTTTTACTTTTTTCCATATGGAGTATTAATTTAACAGGGCTCCTCAACACCACCGGCAGCCACAGGGAAAATGAAGTGGGTGATTCTAGATCCAGCATGCTGTCTGTCCTCTGTGCCCTGCTCCAGCCCTCCACTGACCCACTGTTCCAACCTCATCTTTGGTTTGCCTGTGGAGGAACCATTTGGGATGTGAAAGAATGAATAAATGGCAGAAAAAAGTTTCAGGGCAAATCAAGTTGGCAGTTCAGTGCAGTAGGAAGAATCCCACATGGCGTTAGACCAAGGCCTTGTTTGAACTCTGCTTTGAACGAGGGTCGCGGTAGCTCTCTCTCCACAATTATCAGTGATAGCTAAAGTGACAAATCCAATGCTTTTTCCTCAATCCTCTTTTCCTTGACCTCTCTGCAGCCTTTGACACTGATGATCACCTCCTTGATGGTCTCTTCTCTGTAGGTTTTCCCGAAACCCTCCTGGTTCTCCTGGCTCTCCTACCCGTGTGACTCCTCCTCTTTGGTCTCCTTTGCTGGATCCTCCTCATCCAGAACATGCCCTCTAATTGAATGTGTCCCACAGGGGTCTGTCCTGGGCCCTCTTCTCTTCTCATGGTGATCTCATCAGCCCCCATGGATTCAATTATCTCTAGGCTGATGATTCTCAAATCTACCTTTCCTGTCCTAACCTCTATGACCTCCAATCTCCTATCTCCAACATGTCTCCAACAGGATGTCCAGTAGACATCGTGAACTTGCTACGTCCAAACCAGAACTCATTATCTGTCACCTTTAACCCTCTGCTCCCCCTTCCCTACTTCTTTAGAGGAAAAGCACGCTTTCAGTCCCTCAGGCTCGCACCCTGGGAACCTACAAATCCCTCACTATCTCCAACCACCCCCTCCCCCATATGCAAGATGGCGCCACGGATCTGCCAATTTCACCTTTGCAATCTCTCTCCAATTGGCCCCTCCCGTCCTCTGGCCCTGCCCCCACCCTGGCGCAGACGCCCACTCCCCCAGCCTTGGGCCTGCCTCAAGCCCCCTCCCACTCCGAGCCAGCCTCTATTTTGCCGCCACAGGGAAGTTCATTCTGCAGGAAATCCTTCTCCAGCTCTCTCCATTCTAATGCCTTCCCTCTGTTGATCATCTCTGGCTCATTCTGTTTGCCCCACGTTTCTCCCATTGGACTGGAAGCTCCCTGAGGGCAGGGGCTCACTTTTGCCTTTTTGTTTCCCCAGAGTAACTGACACGCGACTGACTGCCTGAGGGTGACCCTGACCTCTTATTGTCACCCCCACCCACCCCCGCCTCGATTTTCCCTTCTGTAACAAGATGGGCCAGGCCGCCACGACCCCCTCCGGCTCTACATACGGCCTCCTACGACCTTGGTTAAGACCTGGCCCTCGTTTCCCCCTCTGTAATATAAGGGGCAAGACCTCGGCCTGGGGACTCCCACCGATGTCCCGGCATGACCTACATTCATTCTGGGGTCCCACAAGCGGCTGGGGGCCCCTCTGGAACCCCGGACTTCGGGCCTCCACCACCACCACTGCCCCGCCCGCCCTTTCCTCAGGCGACGCTTCAAAGGCTTCCGGCATTTCCCGCCAATTCCTCTAGAGCGAGCTGGGGGGGGGGAGTCATAAGGTGGGCCCACGTGGGGCAGGGGCGGGGTTTGGGGAGGCTGTCGGGGATCCGGGGGCGGAGCTTATGGAGGGCTAATGATAAGCAGGGGGTGGGGCCTAGGAAACAAAATGAAGGGAGAGTGGGAGGGGTCTGGAGAGGAGCAGGGGGCGGGGCTTGGGAAGAGCTATAGGTGGGAAAGAAGATGGTGCATAAACGGCGGGAGGGACTTGGGGAGGGCTGTAGAGTAACAGGAGTGTGGGTTGGATGGGCTGTGGAGGAGCCAGGGGCGGGGCCTGAGGAGGATATGGGCGGGGCTTGATGTGTAAGGGGAGGGGCTTGAGGAAGGATAGAAGATGCCAGGAGCAGTGGAGAGAAGGGTTGATTTCCCCTTGGCTTTCTTGGTACCTTGGGATCCTATCTTAGACCTTTCGGCCAAAAGATCCTAGGATCACAGATCTAAATCTAGAAGGCCTCCGAGGCCATCTAGAACAAGCCCTTAATTTTACAGCTGAGGAAACTGAGGCTCAGTGAAGTAACAAGATCATAGACCTAGAAGACCCAGAGCTAGAAGGGGCCTCAGAGACCTTCAAGTCCAACCCTTTCATTTTATAAACAAGAAAGTTGAGGTTCAAGTGGCTTGCCCCAAGTCACTAAGCATCAGAGGTGGGATTTGAACCCAGATCTTCTGAGTCTAGAGCAGGGTCCTTAACTCTTAGTGTCATGAATCCCTTTGGTAGCTTGCTTAAGCCTATAGCCCTTTTCTCAGAATGATGTTTCTAAATGCACAAAATATGCAGGATTACAAAAGAAGCCCAATTACATTGAAATATAGTGATCAATTTTTTTTTCTTAAAAAATAAGTTCACCTGGACCTCAGGATAAGAACCCCTGGGTCTAGAGCCTATACTCTTCCCACCATACCACAGATGGAAGAGACCCGTGGCTGTAAAGGACCTCAGAGGTATCCTAGTTCAAACATTTCATTTTAGAGATGAGGAAACAACAGCCCAAATATGTTAAAGGACCCGCCCAAAGTCACACAGCCATAAGAGAAGGAGCCAGGTCTTCTGACTCCAGAGTCAATCTCATTCTAAGGCTCATGTGGTCAAAGAGGTGCCTTGAGAGCCAGGAAGACTGGGGTTCAAGCCACTCCTCTGGCACACGTTGGCTCTGTAACCCTCATCAAGGCCCTTGGGTCTCACTGCTGTAAGGAACTCTCTATGTTCGAGGTGCCTGGGATACAGACAAAAGTTCAACAATCTGCTTTCAAGGCACTTAAGTTGTATCAAAGGAGATAATTACACTTAAGTAAACACGTAAATGTTGGTGTCCATCCTTTGTTTTCTAAGAGAACCAATGACATTGTGGGGCCATGTCTTGACTCTTGTGTGAACTGTATTTAAGTGAGACAGAGGCGCACCAAGTCATCAGCCTCATTGTTTCCTCCAGGGTCGTCAAAGTCCAGAGGCAAGACAAAAGTCAAGGCACCTGGAGATGACCTGGGATGCAGGGGATGACTTTGTCGTCTTCCATGTCTGACCAGCTGCCTTTATGACACGTGGAATACGTTCTCATTCGCCCATCCTACCAGGAGAAGTCTTCACATGCTTGTAAATGGTTTGGGGCCTATCTGTCAAGACAGTTTACCAGGGCTACAACTTCTTTGAACCACAGGTAAGAGCTGAGCGCCAGGCGGACACTGAAGATGGATAAGTAGCGCTGAAAAGTCTTGGCAGGCCCTCACACCAGACGTGCTAGACCTCTGTGAGCACCCGTACACTCCAAACACATAAATTAATACAAGGTGATGGGAGGAGGTAAGGAGGAACTTTGGGAGATGCTGGAAGAAATAGGAAAGTCTTCCTTTAGAACAGGGGTGGAGAACCTGTGTCCTCAAGGCCACAATGTGTCCCTCTAGGTCTTCAAGTGCAGCCCTTTGACGGAATCCAAACTTCACAGAACAAATCCCCCTAATAAAAGTATTTCTTCTGTCAAACTTGTACTCAGTCAAAAGGTCACATCCAAGGACCTGGAAGGCCACATGTGGTCTCAAGGCCACAGGTTCCCCATCTCTGCTTTAGAAAGTGGCACTTGAATCCATCTGGAGGAAATTGGAGATCCCCAGAGGTAGCGGTATGTAGGGAGTTGATTCCAGGCATCAGGGACAGCCAGTGCAAAGACAGGAAACGTAGCACCATGTACAAGGAACAAGTAGGACAGTTTAACAGGACCAGAGGCTGCCCCAAGGGGGATGATGTGTAACAAGGCCAAAAAGGGAGGTTGGGCCAACTTGTGAAACACTTTAAATGCCAAACAGAGCAATTTATATTTGATCCTAGGGAGATTAGGGGTGGCTAGATAGCTCAGTGGATACAGCGATGTGCCTGGAGTCAGGAAGGCTTGAGTTCAAATCCAGCCTCAGACATTTACTAGCTATGTGACCATTTAACTTCTGTTTGCCTTAATCCACTGGATAAGGAAATGGCAAGCCACTCCAATATCTTTGCCAAGAAAACTCCACGGACAGTATAGTCCACAGCAACATGAAGAGTCAGACGTGACTGAACAATGACAAAGGGAAAGTAGGAATCCATTGGAGATTATTAAGTTAGGAAAGTGACATGGTCAAACCTGAGTTTCAGGAAAATCACTTGGGCACCTTTATGAAGGTTGTGTTAGACTGGATGAAGGTTTGAGGCAGGTGGACCAATTAGGAGGCTATTGCAATAGTCCAGGCTGGAATGGCTCTCAGATGTCAACTAGTCCAACCTCTCCATTTTAAAGGTCAGTAAACTGAGGCCCAGGCAAGTGAAATGATTTACCCAAGGTAACACAGGTAGCAAATGTTAGAGGGAAAATCTGAACTCTGACTCTAAAACTAGTGCTTAGATTTGTTTGTGAAAAAAAAAATTAATTTTTTAAAACCAGAATGAGTCTCTCTCACTTGTTTACTCACTAATTCTTCCCCTATTTATTGAGCTGACAGGTAATTTCTTACTTGTTCTAGTTCGTTTATAATGTGACCTTTCATATCTAGGTCATATAACAATTTGGAGTTTATCTTGGTGTGTGGTGTGAGGTGTTGGTATGAGCCTCATTTCTGCCAGACTTCTGTCCAGATTTCCCAGGAGTTTTTGTCAAAGAGTAAGTCCTTTTCCCAGTAACTAGGATCTTAGGGTTTCTTGAACACTATACTATTATATTTGTTTGCTTCTGTAGATTATCTATCTACTGTATTCCAAGCATCAACCTCTCTCTCTTTTTTTAATCCATATCAAATAGATGATTATTGCTTTGTAGTACAGTTTGAGATCTGGCAACGATAACCCTTCTTCCTTTCTATCTTTTTTCATTATAACCCTTGAGATTCTTAACCTTTTGTTGCTCTCTATGAATTTTGTTACTGTTTTTTCTAGCTCTATAAAATATTCTTTTGGGAGTTCGGTATAGCACTAAATAAGTAAATTAATTTGGAGAATGTTGTCATTTCTATTCTATTGGGTCAGGAACTTACATTCAAATGGGGTAATGATACATAAACTGGCTAGGAAAGAAGTTTTGGTCCAATGGGTCTCAAGGATGACGAAAAGAATCACAGGGCAGTTGATTGTCATACCTTTTCCAGCAGCAATGATAATATTAAAATTTTACCAAATGTTCTGCTAAAAATCTATGCAGAATATATCTATAGCATTTCACTGATCTGCCATCTTAGTAACCCTGTCAGAAAACAAAGTAAATTTATTCTAGAATGATTTGTTCTTGATGAAACCATTTGAGCTTTGTGATCACCACCTTCTTCATCAATAATCTCAATATAACGAAGATCTTCCTAAAAAACAGAGCTGTCCAAACAGAGTTGTCCAACTATGGGCTCAATTGTCTTACCACCTACTGATAAGCCATGTAGTTCTGGTTACAGTACTAGATCTGAAGGCAGAACTTGGGTTCAAATGCTGCCTCTAGGGCATGGTCAAGCCACTACATCTCAGTTAGCCTGAAGGTTTTCATATGTGAAATGGAGGTGATGATAGCTATAGTACCACCCCCTTGCAGGATGTTGTGGGACTCAAATGGTATTGTGTAGGTCAAATGCTTTGCTAACTTCAAAGGGCTATAGAAATGTGAATTCTCTGTCACTGAAGTCAGTCAGTCAGTTAGTATTTATTAAAGAGCTACTATATGCCAGGAATTGTGCTAAGTACTAGGAATACAGAGAAAGGCAGAAAACAAAAACAAAGACAAAACTCCCCAGAAAAACCAGTCCCTGCTCTCAAGGAGTTCACAGTCTAGTGGGAGAGACAACATGTAAACAACTATGTACCAGAAGGCTACAAGTTGGATAAACTGGAAATAATCAATAGAGGGAAGGCACTACTGTTAAGGGGGACTCTATATTACAATCCTAAAGAAGAGTTAAAAAGCATTTTTCGTGCATTATCAAATCTGATCTTCGTAGCAATCGTGTAAGCCACATGCTACAGGTATTATTATCCTGATTCTACAGAAGAGGAAATAGAAGCTCAGAGGGGTTATGACTCCCCAGAGTCATTCAGTTAATAAACAGAATCTGAAACCAGACCTTCCTGTGATCTAATGACACTGGTGTCCTTGCTGTTCCTCACACTCAACACTCCATCTCCCAACTCTGGGAATTTTCAAGGCGGCTAGGTGTTACAGTGGATAGAACATCAGGACAGGTCAAGATGACTTGAGTTCAAATTTGGCCTAAAACACTTACTACCTGTGTGACCCTGGGCAAGTCACTTAACCTCTATTTGCCTCAGTTTCCTCATCTGTAAAATGAAGATAATAATAGCTCCTACCTCAAAGGGTGGTTGTGAGCATCAAATGAAAAAGTAAGTGTAAAATGCTTAGCATATGGTAATAAATGTTAACAATTATTCTCACTGGGTTATTATCC